TTTTTTTTTTTTTTTTTTTGGACTGCCAAGTTAATTTTAAAACACGTTCATTTGTCTAAGTTTCATCTTCATCAGCTAGCTCATTGGATGGTTTGAGTGGTTCTGGTATGGAGTGTCAAACGGAATCAAAATGGAAGTATTTGTTGATGTTGAAATACTTGGCCTTTGTTGGGCAGTGCCCAGTCAAAGTTTTGTGTATTCATTGATCTCCTTTTTTTTACAGTTCCAATTATCAGCCGTTTAGCCTTATTCTTTTAACCGTGGCTATGATAGTAGGGAATTTGTTCTGGAATTGTTTTTCTTTCCTTTGGGGATGTAACATAATCTACAGTTTTATCTGACCTGTTGCTGTTAGTTGGACTTTGGCTTTTAACTCTTATGCTTTTACATGCTTTTTATATTTTCGACTTTAAGTTGCAAGTTTGTATGGTCATTACTTTGAATAAAGGGTCATCATTATCGAATTTGTTGATATACTGATTTTGCAAAAGATTTCACTGCTGTGAGGTCTGATGACTAATTAGGTTTCTCAGTGGGGATGTAGTGTCCTTCATTATATGCGCTCTTGAGTCATTTCGGTTTTTCGGAGGAGTGGACGTTAGGTGACGTTTGGAGTCAGTTTAAAAGTTGGTAATTTGGTGTTTCAAAAATTAGCATAATTTCAAATTTGTGTTAGAGAAGCTTTCGAAGCGTTATTATGCTGACCTTACTGCTGTGGGTCTGTTTCGCTGTGGTTGTTGCAAGTATCGTTCTTGTTAGGCACTTGCAGGCGAGAATCTTTTGGGACGATTGCAAAAGCTGGAGTGCACAATATATTTCTGCCTTTGTTTTGCACCGTTACAATTTTTTTACATTTGTGAGGGACTTTGAACTCTGTAAGCTCGACACATATGGAAGCAGCTGACTTTAGTTGAACTTTCTGCTGTTGGCTAATCGACGGCTTCTTTGAATTTATACTGCAGTTTAAGAAGAAGCCTAGAGAGTTTGACACTGTTTAAAATGTGGCAAGCAAACAACTGGAAATTGCGTTCATGAGGTCCTGACATGTTTCTTTTTTCCATGCGATGCTTTTAGCATTCTGGTGCTGAGGTAGAAGCCCTTCAGCGGGGTGTAGATTGGGATTAGAGCGTTTCACGTGGATTATGCAACATCATTACTGGCCCAAAAGTTTCATGGAAGGTTAGTACAACTCTGGGCGGCCGAAAGCCAGCTCTGCGTCGTTCTGGGGCACGCCGTACGCTCACAAAAGCAGTGGTATCGTCACTTATACAAGTGACTGTGGCTAAAGATTAGAAGTCTGGAGGAGGCAAATTGTTGTTCTTTTGAAAAAATTACGACACGGTATGGTGCTTTTTGGGAAAAAAAAAGCTTTTGACTTAAAGGGTCAATTTGGCTTCCTGGACGCATATTCTGAATACCGTAATTCATTATACGGTGAAGATCGGGATATTGCAGGTTGTTGTTTAATAACTCTAGAGCTTCAAGGGTATAGTCAAAACCCGGAACTCGTGATACTGTTTGAAAGTAATATATATTGGACCATCAAATGTTTTATGGTTTTTATAAGTACTGGTGTTCTATCTTTTTGGGCTTATATTTATTTTCGCGGCCAGATTTATTACTTTTCAAACCTCTGCATTAAATATATGCTTCCATATGCATTTAATTTTACCTATTTTACCATTTGATGCTGACTGTTCAGGCAGAGGACTGTTCAAATTGTTAAATTGCAGTTATTGCAAGAAAGCATTGTAGTGATTTATTACACCTTGCCTTAACTAAAATGACAAGGGAATTTAAAATGAATCTTTCGGAAAACTAATGAACAGATCTTACAGCATATACACACTTAAAGATTTTTTTAGCCTTTTTGCAGCAACAGTGAACGGTTTTACATTGCCATTTCCATCCTGGAAGTTCATTTCATTGAATGAATCGCCAAAACTGCATTGGCAAATAGTGTTCATACCTTCTACTTCGTGTTACACTCGGGAAGCTGCAAAAAGTTTCAAACTACAGTGTCCACGACATTTAAACTCACCTACTCTATTTATTGTGAAGATTTGGAAGTCCCAAGGAAGCAAAAGGAAAAGGTAAATCTTATTGATCAGTGATTCATGACGTGACCGCGTTCTCCTCGTAGAGGTTCTCTTAATGTTCTGTGTTTATGCTCGTTGGATTACTGGAGCCAAGCAGTGGGTTAACCAATTTTTTTAGGTTTCCGTTGTGAATTTGCTGGGTTTGCTACACGTCCTTGTTACAACTTTTCTAGCGGCAGACTTCCCAATACATAAAGTTTTATTGGCTTTTTTTGAACTACCTTAACTACAGAAAGGAACTAGGTGAAGCAACAGAGCCCCACCCTCTGCTTCTCACTCCACGTCCTCTGCTTTGCTTCTCCTGTTTAGTCTCTCTCTAAGTGTATGTGTGAGGGAGGGAAGAAGAAAAAATATATTGTGAAAATATGCATTATGTATAACAGAGAGTTCGCTTCTACGTAGACTGGACAACTCTTTTCACCACTTAATAAGTAGTATTCATTAGAAGAAAGACACAGTTTAGAAAGTTCTACTGAGCAGTAAAAATAATAATAATAGCAGTAGCAATATTAATAATAATAATAATAATAATAATAATAACAGTATTAACAGCAACAGTGAC